TGAATTACAGATACACTTCTCTAGAAGATGTCCACAGATGGGTTCATGCGTTGAGCAAAAATGCGATCTACTCCAAAGAAACGAGACTGTTCCTGAATTGGAGTCTGTTAGTCATTATCCTGGCTATTCAGGTTGTCAGTATTCTTGCGGAGGACTATTGTGTGCAGGATGCCTTTTGCCGCTTCCATCATGTACCTTCTACAGAGTATCTCACGTTCCCCGCACCCAAATCGTCTATGAGATCTTAGAATGTGCGGAATGGAAACCCATCCTACATCTGGAAGTTGAAACCAAGTTGAAATCCATTACAACAAGGCAAACACTACAAGTCGATCCTTACATTAGCCAAAGCGTTGATGGAATGAATGTTACAGTCATAGCCCTACAAAAGCCTGTAGATTCAATGATGTCAAACAAGTTCGCTATATCCGACGTTGACTCCTTCATTGTACCGGACACGCACAAAATAGCGGTCGAATGCAAGGACCGAAATGATGCTCTGAACAATTTTCACACGTGCAATGACAATCTAGAATGCGTTTGTTCAGAAGGAGCCAGTTTACCAAATCATTGTAGATGTCCAGATGGAGATATCGGTAGTATACGCCATGATGCATCATATCGTCTACCCATACAGACACCATTTCTGACAGTGAATCAGTCGGCTGACACGATTGCAGCAGAAACTGATCAAGGAGAGGTGGTCTTAGTTGTTGAAGCTGAAATGTTTGTCAACAGCTCCGACTACGTGGCTGACCTTCCTTGCGACGTTCAACTTAGCCAATTGCGTGGATGCTACAGCTGCCAGCAAGGTTCAGAAGTGACAGTTTCATGCCGCTCTGCAGAGCCACAGGTGACCACGCTTTACTGCGAGGCACAGGCACTTGCACTGGATTGTGGTCCTGATACCATCATCACCAAGAAGAAGCTACACTTTGACTCCGCAATAGTGCGCATCAATTGCTTCACAGCATGCACAGGCTCCCACATACACCTGCCCATAAATGGGACGTTAGTCTACCATTACTCTGATTACAGAAATGTGTTTGAATACAACGCACCCAAAAATGTGAACTACTCCTGGTCAGACTTCCTGGACATCACCCTGCCAGACCTTGAACCCCTCCTGAACACCATAAGAAACCATTGGAAAGCTGCATTGGTGATCATCGGTGTTACGGCAACAATGGCCGGTCTTACATATCTATTTGGGCCAATAGCAGTACTTACTATACTTAAAATATTGTTTGCTATTCTCGAATTAGCACTAAGAGTTGCCAAGGTTTCGGTTACTACTGCAGTCTCAGTGACGGCACGGTTAGTACAGTTCATATTTAGAAGGAACTTGTAAAAAAGCGGTGAGCTATGCACTTGTACATAATTGCCCCCATTAGCAATCTATCACTTACGAGCACCACTACATTCCTTTCATACACAACAAGCATCCTCGTAAAAAACTTTACTGCCAAAGTGTAGCCTAAATTAATATCCGAGGGACAGGAAGGCGGTACTCGAGACCGAGCAGGCATAGAAAGGTGTATATAAGGCGGGACAGAGTCGATTCCAGACCTCAAGTTTCGAGAAACATCATGTTCGACAACGTGGATGCCGCCAGCTTGATGCACGAGATACTGAACACCGTACGAACTGTCCAGCATCAAGTCGAACTCGGCCTCCAGCAGATGACGCAATTTGACGAACGAATCGGCAGCCTGGAACAGCGAGTGACCGACATCACCTATTCCTGTTCTGAGCTTTTGGAGCGGTCTAAACCCCGCTCCAATTGCATATTCTGCTCCATCGAAGACAACAAGGACGCGCATCCGACGGTGCGCTGCAACAAGTACCCGGATCCCGTCTCCAAGTCATGCCAAGCCACCCGGCTCGGACTTTGCGAGAAGTGCTTGAAGCCAGCACACCCCGATGATTGCGGCATACAGTGCGCAAAGTGTGGGCGACCACACAATGTGCTGCTATGTGCCGAAAGGAATGCCCCAAATCACGGTTACAAGCGTCGACGCCCTTAATCTAGCCACCAACCTCAAGCTACCGTCTCTGCCATCGCCTCGATCAACCTCCGCAACCGCCACCGCCTCCAGCCACAACTGCCACCACCACCACCACCGACCACCTGCCACAACTGCCACCACCACCGCCACCAGCCACCAACCGCCTGCCACGACCGCCACCACCACCGCCACCAGCCACCAACCGCCTGCCACGACCGCCACCACCACCACCACCAACCACGACCAGCTGCCACATCCATTCCGATTAATACGAAGCACCTCCAAGGAATGATCACTTCATTTATATTTGTGTTAACTTGTAATTTTGTTGCCATGTTAATTTTTTGGCTGTCGTCGCGCGGAGTGTTCTGGCCACACCAGAACCCCTGCCGATGGCGGCCCCCTTTCTTGCATCAGGGGCGGGGCGCGTAGCCCCGCACTCTTCGTTTTGCGCTCTCCCGAGCACCTTGTCAATATCCTGATAAACATAACCACTGAACCACTTTCTTATTGTACTAAAAAGGGCCTACCATACGCCCTGTACACATTAGGCTATACCATAAGCCTCAAGTCGCCACACGGTAAGTCTCTTGCGTTTTTGCGATTGCAAATCCAGGATGGGGACGCCAAAGTGGACTGTGTGTGCAATGGCACACATGATCATATGAAATGAAGCGACTGGACGTACTCCTTTTTGCGTAGCTTTGCGTGCGAACTGTCAGTCTATGAGGGCGACTTGGATGCGTATTATACGCGCGCGAACATTGCGCGTCCTGGTGTGGCGATTGCGCGTACGGAACGACTGTATATAGTAAGGCATGCCTGTCAAAGGGGCTTGATTTATCTTGCGAAGCGGGTACAAGTGTATAATGTATGTGTGGAGCATCTTCTATCATTGTTGTAAGCGTACCTCGCTTCCATGGGCAGCCGCCTTCGTCTGGGACTAGCCATTTTGCAATTTGACCAGCCGAAAATGCCTGAGTACACTTTGTGCCAGTTCGCAGGAGATCTTTTGTTTTTTCAGTATTCGCGAAAGGTCTTTATCTATCAGAACTAACTCTAAATGGCTTTAGAAGCTCTAACATCGATTTTGAAGGCACCGTCCACACATTCTCGACTTCCAGGTTTTTGTCGTTCTAGGGCCTTCACAAGTCCCTGGTTTCGATTATGAATTCGAGAAACGCGAAAACTCCGACAATTCCCCTTCCGGAGAACCCGGAGGCCGGCTTTCTGGAACGGTGATTGGATGGAGCGCACGAATGGGCGGGCATGGATGGGGAGGGCGGTGCCGTCTGGGGGTCCTTGTGCATCTTCGTTATTCCGAAGCGATTTTCTCGCTTGCGAAGAGATTTGCGCCGCGACTTGGGCATTGGCTTGATAGGCTACTATCATATGCTGCCAAAAGCTCAAAACCCTCAACTTAGAGTGGATGGTGCTTTTAATATGAGGAACTAGCTGGCTTACCCGGCTCCGCCGTATCCGGACCAAACTTGGCACACATACACTTCGGGCCCCGGCGGGTGTCACAGTCCACTTTTCGTTATCGATCGATGTCGATTTAACCGATTTTTATCGATTTTTTTGCAGAGTTCACCTAAAGGGCTAGGAATTGGCACAGGGGGGGGGGGGAAGTGAGCATGGGGATTCTGAATACAATATTAGTTTTCAGAATTATCGATTACTTTTATTGATTTTATCGATTTTTTGTAAAGTTTGACCTGCGGGGCTGGAAGTTTGCACAGGGGGGTAATCGAGCATGCGATTACGAATACAATATTAGTTTTCAAGATCGTCCATTACTTTTATCGATTTTATCGATTTTTTGAAAATTTGAGCTAGGGGGCTGGAATTTGGCACAGGGGTGTAATCGAGCATGCTGATCACCCCCCCCCCCTTGGGGATGAGCCCCGTAGCTCAAACTTTGCAAAAAAATCGATAAAAGTAATCGATAATCCTGAAGACCAATATTGTATTCGGAATCCCCATGCTCGATTACCCCCCTGTGCGAACTCCCAGCCCCGTAGCTCAAACTTTGCAAAAAAATCGATAAAAGTAATCGATAATCCTGAAGACCAATATTGTATTCGGAATCCCCATGCTCGATTACACCCCTGTGCCAAATTCCAGCCCCCTAGCTCAAATTTTCAAAAAATCGATAAAATCGATAAAAGTAATGGACGATCTTGAAAACTAATATTGTATTCGAAATCCCCATGCTCGATTACCCCCCTGTGCGAACTCCCAGCCCCGTAGCTCAAACTTTGCAAAAAAATCGATAAAATCGATAAAAGTAATCGATAACCCTGAAAACCAATATTGTATTCGGAATCCCCATGCTTGATTACCCCCCTATGCCAACTCCCAGCCCCGTAGCTCAAACTTTGCAAAAAAATCGATAAAATCGATAAAAGTAATCGATAATCCTGAAAACCAATATTGTATTCGGAATCCCCATGCTCGATTACCCCCCTGTGCCAACTCCCAGCCCCGTAGGTGAACTCAGCAAAAAAATCGATAAAAATCGATAAAATCGATATCGATCGATGACGAAAAGTAGCCTATGACACCCGCCGGGGCCCGAAGTGTATGTGTGCCAAGTTTGGTCCGGATCGGTTCAGAAATGGAATTTTCTATTCGGAACATACGTACACACAGACATACAGACATACATACAAACAGACATTCAGCTTTATATATAAGATGGCACGTAGTGAGGAACCCAATATAGGTGTTTACAGTGCCTCAGAGATAGACGAAAGAAGTGACAACGTTAGGCGAAAATAAATATTCAACAATCCACAGAAGTACTTGAAGAAAAAAATATTCTGTAGTAGGTAAGCTCATGATTTGGGAGTACACAGTATTTAAAAGCACAGACGAAGGCGAGATCCATGCTGCATAATTTGGTTTGCTTGTGAACACCATTTAACCCAAAATCTTTGCAAATGTATTTTCTTCGAGAATGAAAGAACTTCAACTTGATTATTTTGTGTCTGGATTTTTAAATTATGTTCTAGGTTTGACTCCCCGATTCGTCCTTCGGAGGTGGCTTGTAATCTTTGAGTAATCTTTTTGTGCATCTAAACAAAATAATATCAATTATTTGCCGCGGAATCCTTTGGCTCACTCTCTTATCGCTTCTACATTCAATTTATATTGCTTCATGTCGAATTTGATATCCTTGCAAGCTAGATATTCCTGAAGTTCATCGACAATAGGTTCTTCACACTTAATCTAACCAAAGTACCGGCGTTTCTTCCCATTCGAATGGAACATTTATGCCAACGTTAGCTCTGTTAAGTAATTTTATGAGCTGCAGTCTCAAGTCGGATACCTAGGCAAATTATGAGAGAAGTTTTTAGAAAACGAACGAATTATATCAATAACTAGCTGGGTTACCCGGCTCCGCCCAGCCCTGTCAAAACACTATGTCACACTATCCCTACTCCTGTAAGAAACTTCCCCTGTGCCCACGCCTACATGCCAAATCACTATCCCCGCTGTTTTAGTAATCAGCATGCTCGATTACTCCCCTGTGCCAACTCCCAGCCCCGTAGCTCAAACTTTGCAAAAAATCGATAAAATTGATAGAAGTAGCGGATAATTCCAAAAACTAATCGTATTCGTAATCAGCATGCTCGATTACCCCCCTGTGCCAACTCCCAGCCCCGCAGGTGAACTCAGCAAAGAAATCGATTAAAATCGATAAATTCGATAGAAGTAGCGGATAATTTCAAAAACTAATATCGTATTTGTAATCAGCATGCTCGATTACTCCCCTGTGCCAACTCCCAGCCCCGCAGGTGAACTCAGCAAAGAAATCGATTAAAATCGATAAATTCTATAGAAGTAGCGGATAATTCCAAAAACTAATATTGTATTCGGAATCCCCACGCTCACTTACCCCCCTGTGCCAACTCCCAGCCCGTAGGTGAACTCTGCAAAAAATCGATAGAAATCGATAAAATCGATATCGATCGATGACGAAAAGTAGCCTATGACACGCGCCGGGGCCCGAAGTGTATGTGTGCCAAGTTTGGTCCGGATCGGTTCAGAAATGGAATTTTCTATTCGGAACATACGTACACACAGACATACAGACAGACAGACAGACATACATACATACAAACAGACATTCAGCTTTATATATAAGATAGTCCCATTGTGTGTCTGGGTTTTTGTATGAATGTGCCAAGCCAAATATGAGAGTGCAAAGCCTGGATCCAAATGCCCACATGAGCGTTGTCATTTTCTTATAGTCTTCCACTTTTTTTCGAATAATATGAACGATCTTTGATAAAAGACTAATTTACATTGGAGTGTAGAGACGGAAGCCGTGACCGGAGCTACACTGGACTTTACGGCCAGTATAGTGCTGCCGCGGTGACGACAACATTTGCGCGAAAACACTTGCAACAAGTTGCCTGCAGCCATGGTCATGGCTGCAGGCAACTTGATGCAGCTTGCGCGCCTTAATTGTAAAATCAGCTAGATCAAATGCGAAGTGTTCCCCCTTCCACTCTCCCCTCCCCCCCCCCCCCCCCCTCCCCGCTTCCCCATAGCCTCCCTTCTCCCTATCATTTCATTCGCTTAGGGCCACATACACTAACATCCCCGCTGGGGAGGGGATCGCAGCTCAGAAGAAAGCTTCATATTCTGAAGCTCCAAATATCCAGTTTTCACGCTGTCTACCCGTCCGCAAGTATTCCTACTATCCTTCACTATGAACATACTGAGCAGGAGCGGAAAGCTGTACAAGCCGCATTTTCCAGCTTTTGTATGATCCCTGACGATCCCCGACGCTTTTCTTCAAAGTCATTTTTCTTTCTTTGAAGTTAACGAAGACCTTCCAAAGTTGTACTGAACATATAACACAACAGTGCTAAGCATGTTGCTGATGAGAACAAATGGGTTTTTGAAAAATCGAATTTTAAACCACAACTTTCGACATGTGGTTTACCGGACTGGTTCATCGCAAATTTCATGACTCCGATACATCACTTGTTCCTATCAGCAACATGCTTAGCAGTGTTGGGTTAGATAATCTGCACAGCTTTGGAAATTTTTCGTAAACTTTGAAGAAAGAAAAATGACTTTAAAAAAGCGCCGGGGATCATGGATCATGCAAATGCTGGAAACTGCGGCTTGTACAGCTTTTCGCTGTTGTTCAATGTGTTCATAGTGAAGGATAGTAGGAATACTTACGGTTACGTACACTACGTGGAATCTAGATATTTAAAACTTCAGGATTTGAGGCTTTCTTTTAAGCTGCGATCCCCTCCGCGGGGATGTAAGGCATGCGGCCCTTAGTTGTTGTCTGAAATAGTCTGGCAGACCCAACCTTGTAATTCTGCTTGTTCATGATAGCACAAATTGTACGCACTTCGATTGGGAAAACATTGAGACCACTTCCGCGGCTGTGCAGATTTCCTGAAAACCTTTGACCTAGCGCCTGTTCTATTATAATCGTAAATCGAATGATTCACTACCCACCTGGACCTGCTACTACAGAGTTGAACATAAGCAACTTTCGCTCTTCAATCGTCTCTTTCGACATGTTTTTGAATTTATTCCACGGTAATTCATTCCTCCCAAACAAATCCAAAAGCGTAAAAAACCTGTGTTAAAACCTCAGGCAGAGGTATGTGAGGACAACAACTTTGGGTCTTCACAATAAAGTGACATATTTTTGCGGTGAACAACCAGTACAGGTGTTGGGTTACCCACCAGCACTCCAACTCCATGTTGTACAAATTTTTATTGGCAATTGCTCTTGGTGAATACTGAGGTTTGCGGTTCCTGAACAGTCACCCTTATGTTGCAATTTGTAGAGGTGCTCAAATATGGGTGTGCAAATTCATAAAATTGGCAAGAGGGAGAAGTTAGGAACTGAAACTGACCAAGTGGGTGTTTTGCTGGAAGTGACGATGTGCCCTAATCCAATCAAAAACAAAACATTCCGTTGATGTTCTGTACCTATACAGAAATGTGAAGGCTCTATGCGTGTGTGCAAAATTTTAATCTGATGCAGCATCGACACAGCTTCCAGTGCTTGGATGGACAGTCGGGCAGCTGTGGTCGGCCTGAAAAAAATCACCTTTCTGATACTCCTAATTGGAGTTCTACATCTTACGAAAATTCCTTCTTCATTTCTTCTCGCAGTTGGTCAAGATTCGGTCCAAGTAAAGGCATAATCAAAAATTTGTATCTCTTTGAATGTCCATAATCGCAGATGGGAAGCAAGTGCTCACATCCATGTACCTGAGAATAATCAAAGATAATCTTTCCACGCAAAGGCAAGTGGCTCGGCAGAATGACAACTTTGGGATATTCGTTGTTCTCTCTAAATGAGCTAACAATAAGTCCAAGACCGTGCTTTGCAGCTTCAAAAGATATCAATAACCCGCTTTTCCAGACGTAATAAGTGCTGATGGGGCGGAAGGCGTATGCCTGCTCTCTGGAGCGCGATTGGCTCGTGAGTGAAGACACCGTATCCACCGTCACGAGCCAATCGCGCTCCAGAGGGCAGGCATGCGCCGTCCGCCCAATCAGCACTTATCACGTCTGGAAAAGCGGGTTATTGATACATTTTGAAGTTGCAAAGCACAGTCTTGGACTTAGTTCAAACAGGGGAACCGAGAACGATGAATATCTCAAAGATGTCATTTTGCCGAGCCGCTGCTTTCAACTGAGCGTTTTCTAGGCAGACCTGATCTCTCCACCTTTTTTGGTATTCTACTAGAAATCGTATCTCATTCTGTAATGCGTAAGTACAGCGAGCCTATTTTCTGAGATATGTAAATACCGCAAGAGCAAATCCTGTGCTTTCCGATTTGATCCCTTGATTTTCGGCTTTCATCGCCATCTTTACGATCGACCCATCTTTCAGAAGATGGTTGACTAGATAAACGGTGCTGTTGTTTCCAGCAACAATGGGCTTCACAATCTCGTATCTACAAAATACAGAGCTCAGAGCGCTTACTTGGACAATAGTTGCTCGCTTCACCCCGCTCAATGCTGCTTTTTGGGCGTCAAAATTTGATTCTATCCGCCGCTGCCCTTAATTTTTACGCTGGCCAAACCTGGGGTAAACGTTACCGTAATGTAGTCATGGGTAGGCCTTGCATCCGCTCCATTCAGTTAAGGCTAAATGAGGAGTGAGTCCTGTACCCACAAAGATTCGACGCTAACCATGGATAGATACATCATGCCTTCGAACTAAAAGCCCTGATAAAGGTACGAATAGTGCCATTAGGCGCCCTCTTCTGGTCCTCGCATGATATGCTCAAGCATGGGCGAAAGGAAAAACAGTCTATGCAGGTTGCGCCTAATGGCTCGTTGCTTGAATCCTTGGAAATTGGAGGCATTTATGGGCAAATGAAGCACATGAGGCTTTTTGGCGAAATCAAATGGGGAGGCCTGGCTAGCTTCTAAGAATTCCGGGTATATACCTATCGTATTTAGCGGACGGCTTCCACCGCATTCTATGTTTTTGCGCGGGGACTCACCACTAGAGGCAAACAGGCAATAGTATGCACACCGATGCTAGTCATCTACAGCGGTAGGGGAATAAGCTTGCAGATGAATGTCTCGGCCGTGACGGATGCCGCCTGAATAGCCCCCCCCCTAGGGGGGGGGGCATGCATGAATATATTCGCCGGAAAGAGAGCGCAGCTTTGAAGAAAGCTTTGTATCAGCATCCGCTTGCTTTTGAAGACCCTTCTATCTGCACTCCAAAGGAATACAAAAGTTTGCGTAGTGAAAAGCTTCTACCAAAAGAATACTTACGTATTTACTGTTTGATTTTTAGCTGTTCAATTGAAATATGGAAAATCGCATACCTTTGCTTCTTTCCACTTTTCAGGACGATGTTACCCTTTTCTTCCTCTTCTTCTGCATCCAAAGCCAAATCGTGCGCATCCTCTAGCATTGCGGACATCTCCTGCGTAACACTTCGAGTAACCCAATTAGTGATGCGTAGGTCTCATTCATGACCATGAATGAGACCTACGCATCTACGCACCTACGCACCTCAACCACCACTATTCAGACAACCCGGGCTCGCTGCGGATGCTTGCCCCCCAACCACATACCATACCTCGCCTGTTAAACCTAGGGCACGGCTATGCCCCGCTGGTGAGTTTGTAAGCCCATGATGCGAACAACTGACCCAATCAGGGCCGATATACAGAGTGTCCCAAAAAAATGTGCCTACTGTTTGATTGTAAATAACTCTCTTGTGATGATGTGTTTCGAGAAGCTTTAGGTGCCATTTTATAGAGCGAGGTTGAACTTAGATTTACAGCATAGAGCGAATCACTGATCTCTCTTCATTACTGTAGGATTACGGTAAGAACTTCCAACATATGGATTTAATGTGAAATTTACTATTTAATAAAACTTTTTTCAAAAATCCTGAAAAATCGTGTATTAGGGTTTTCGCGCATGCTGATTCTACCTAACAACTTTTTACGAGTGTTTTCAGCTTTTTTGACGTTGTAATTACATTTCTGACAAATGCTGGGAACTGAGTTATTACGATTTACCGGGGATAACTTTGGAAAGAAGCACCATAGAAAAATGGAAATTTCAAAATCGGAATCAGCGGCTCCCATTACCGTAGTACAAGAGTTTTTGGCTTGTTTGGTTCTGTTCGGAGGCCGAATATGGCCTCCAATGGCCCTAAAATCCTTGTCGAATTTTGTACCATAATCCTACAGTAATGAAGAGCGATAGACGATTCGCTCCATACTGCAAATCTAAGTTTGACCTCGCTCTACAAAACGGTACCTAAAACATCTCGAAACACTACATTACAAGGGAGTTATTTACAATCAGACAGTAGGCACATTTTTTTGGGACACCCTGTATATACATCAATCTCTCGTTTTGAGAGCGGCGATTACTTTCTATTGAAAATGATCGCCCGGCCGGGTTGGGCGTCCGACCCGTGATGTATGATTTCTATTGGAAATGATCGCCCGCTTTCAAAACGGGAGATTGATGCATACCGCCCCAGGTTGTAGTGAGGCAATTCGTTGACACGTTCAATCACACCTTTCATCTTTCGCATCATGCTTGACGATAGCATTTGTTTCGATAACCAAGGCAAAACTGAGAAGTAGGTCCGATCATCGGACTTGGTCCCCCCCCCCCCACCACCGAATCCACTACATCGTACCCTTTGACTCAGTTGGACCTGGCGGCTAGAAAGCAGGGCTTCGTGACCCTATTAAAGCTAAGTAATGATCAGAGAGCACGGCGCGGGAGAGACGCAGACTGCATCGCGGTCGCGAGCAGTCTTAATTAGGTCACAAAGCCCCGTCTTTCAGCCGCCAAGCCAGTTGAATCAAAGGCTAATCATCTGGGTTTTTTCTCTCGGCACATCCGTCTCACGATCACCTCAGATTATATAGAAAGGAAAAATAAGGCAAGTTAACCTTCTTTGACCCTCAAGCGATTAATAGATTGCATTAATATCGTTTATTTTTGCATAATCCACATTTTTCGTAAATGCGTACCTTTTCATGAGTACGTGTCTCCATTTTGTCTAACAATACGCACCACCCTGGAGTTGGATATAAGTGGGGTAATTCTGAGCTGTCAACTCAGTCGCTGCGAGAGACGACTTAAAATGAACTACCTCATCTTTTTGTCTGAACGAAATGATGCAAACGACGCATGTTAGATCTCATCATACGGAAGCAGTGGCCTCTTGCCGGTTGTTGCTGGTGTAGACCGTTGAAAATAGTAAAAGCCTTCGAATTCGACCCTGTTACGACAGTTTGAATAATATTCAGATCCCAAACTACTGAATAATCAAGTCTCCAAACTCTTCGCTTCAGACTACATTACGTAAATGATAGTGTGATCGTTCTATTCGGTCCAAAGTATAATTAGGCTGCTACCAAGTATGACACCACGTGATTTTGTTTTTCTGGCACTGTCGTCGATGTTGCCTATTCGCAAATACTTTTCACGTCAAAAATAGCTTCTATGTTTTTAAAGGCTCCTTCAATGATGTAGATAAAGGAGATCAAATCTGGCGGTTTCGAACTTGTCGCTGTTTAACTTTTACCGGACAAATCCAAAAGTCCTTCATAGAGTGTGAGCGGCTCATTTCATTTGTCATCTGATTAACATGGCTCTAACATCTTACCTGCACTGCTACTGCTTTTTGTAATAAAGAAGTCTTACTTGCGTGTACTTTAGAACTTGCTTAATGATATCCGTTCAGAATTGAAAACTTACACTGCCTCCTTTGGACATGACCACAGTTTCAGTATACTAATAGCGAGCTCAACGGTGTGAAACACAAATGATTTTACTCCAATTTTGAGCTGTGTTTGCTATACTTTGAAACATTTTTTCAACGATGTTTTGATAAAGGAAACAAACAAAAGAAAGCGGTTAGATCCTCTCAAAATTGATGTCAGAACTGCAATACGGACATCAAGTTCAACCTCTGCTGACTTCGTTTCGCTTCCGAACATTGCAAAAGTTGTTTTGAAGTCTATGAAGGAGTTCCATCTGTACGACGATAAAGAATGACTCTTAGCTATCCAAGATGGTTGCTTACCTTCCACAGGCCCGCATGCTAGAAAATCTCAGTGGGCGTGAGAGTGCTAAAACAGAGGGCATTAGCGGTAAATAATACCGAGGAAAGTAGGAGAAACAGAGGTGAAAGCCCTTATCTTGCTGTTTCGTCTATGTTTACATGCAAACATCTAGAAATACGTTTCAAGTAAAATCAGCCAAAATGTAGAAAATACGCTGCAGTAAAAAAACACTGAAAAACTTCTCAAAGCCAAAGAATATTTGTTTATGGTGATAAAACGCTACTGCAGAACACCGTCCAATCCACATGTTTTCCGCTTTCGAATCGAGTCTCATGCATACATATGCTCCAGTGGCGTACCCAGGATTTCGGCTCGGGGGGGGGGGGCGCGACAAAAATTTTTTTTCGATGAAGGTGCGTGGCGTTAGCCACGCACTCCGAAAAAATTTTTGGCATGCTTCCTGAAATTTTCGGGGGGTCAGGACCCCGAAATTTCAGAAAAAGGGGGCGTGGCGTCAGCCACGCCCCCGAAAAAATTTTTTTATAAGGCTAAATTGAATTTTTAAAAATTTTTAAAAATTATTTTAATTACTTACAAGTGTAAATAAGTCTTTTGCACATTTTTATAACTCATGTAAGTAACTTTCAAAAATTTCGCGCCCCCCCCCCGCCCCCCCCCCTCGGTACGCCACTGATATGCTCACAAAGTCTGTGCGTGAAACGATTTTGCTTATTTCCTAAATAAACTTTTTTTCTCCTGAAACGCTGATGTTCTGAGTTATGAATACATGTCTCAGAAAGTCAGTTCCACAGTTCACACAAAGAAGTTTCAACTTGGGCAGTTTTTTTTTGAAAGCATATAATCTGTTAATTCGTGGAATGAAAATTGGTTCTTAATATTCGGTAAACCTGCGTCAGGTCTGCGGACGTTTGCACCATAAGAAGCTCAGAGATATGCAGTCATGAGGAGAAGAAATTTGGTGACAACGAACCAAAATGAAGGAAATTTATTCGTAATTACCAAACAGACTAATATAGACTTTGTTTTCAATTTGTTGAAAGAGAAGAGAAGTGCTTACCATGAAATGAAGTTTTGTCTTGGCTACCTGCTACGCAGTTGATCCAGTCTGTCCGATTTGACCCATCCAATCTTTTGCTGCTGGATCAATCGCAACTAAAAGGTTGGCTAAAAAATAAGTTCGTTTTGGCATGCAGATCTTCATAGAAATTTTTCTTGTTGTTCTCTATCCATGATTTTTTTATGGGAAGGTAGTTTAAAGCTTTTTCTATCACATACCAGATACTTCGGATTTTCTATCATCAGTAAAAACAGTCAAACCTCAGTATGACTGAATTTCCAAGAGCTCAATTCTTTGATTTCCTAAGGCTCTTTTGAACTGCAATGGATGTAGAGAATAGCATTTTGGTATTTGGATAAAGAGTGGTTTTTCCTATTCAGTGAATAACAATGAAAATTGTGATCTGCCGCTTTGAAAATTTTTTTTATCAAAAACAAATTTCCTCATATTTGCGCAATATGAGAAAATTAGGGTTTTTAACTTCGTTGCGGATTTTTTCCTTGGAAGATAAGTTCTACTCAAACAGACCTTATCCTCCAATACCCATCAAAGTGTTTTTACCAGAGATATCAAACAATAGACAGAAATTTGTCTGCAGCATTTGTAAGAGCCGCAAAGGCGACCAGACTTGTTTATAAGCCAACCTAATACTTGCACAAGGTTCTCTCGCACTTATTTGATAACACTTCATCCTTGAAAGCATTCAAAAAAAATAAAAGTAGCCCTTTTTCAACTATTCTAGAGCCCACAACCAGGCAATGGATAAAAATCATACTGCGTTAGAATTTTGAGACAATTTTGTTTGTTGTATTCTTATAAAAAGATCAGTCATACAATGTTTCAGGAGATGTTTCCTCCCAGTTACCTCGATGCTGTCAAGTTGGCTCTACTGAATGAGCCCGTATATCATGGGAAACAAACTGCGGAAGCAGTATTGCAGAAACTACAGAAAGATGGAGAATTCCTATTACAGGTTGGTGGTTTGCAAACGATTAGTTGCCATATGGTCTCTATGCTTTAGGACGGTGATAGTGCCAACACAATCATACTGTCTGTATTCAAAGAAGTTGTGCGTGACTTTTTGATCACTATTGAACAAGTATGTTGACCACCTTTCGCCAGTCCTGTGTCATTCGCTAGATTGAGGACCTAGGACATGATTTTTGAGATTCTGTACTGCAAGTAGCATTGCGATTTGTTAAGGCTGGGGAAAGTCATCGTTTCGTGATTGGGAACCAACGCTTTGAATCCATATCGGAAATGATGTCCGAACTGAAATCAGTGCGTTCCGGCTCAGAAACCCTGAGACTAGATACAGCTATATGTCGAAATGACGGTAACACAATTTCGTTTATATGGCGAACTCAGTATTCATATTCAGATAGATCAGGTGTTGACTGATTTGCTCTAAAGAGTCAGCAACAGTGGTGATGTTCTATTTCACCAAGGGTAAATATAAAGCAAGCACTTTTTAGGCTAACTATGAGGAAAGTAAGGAAAGAGAGAAGTATTGAACAAAAAATTTTGTATTTTGTAAGCAGTACGAAGTCGTACAAAATAGTCTGAGCCCTAGGACCTAAAGATGAAGAAGAGACGCACACAGAGACATTTTGCAAACTACTTTCACATGAGAAATATTGATCAAATGCACTTTACTTACTTTAGATATGGGAAGATTCGGAGCATGTAGCGTTATCGATGATTTCCCTCGTGAAACTATGAAGACCATGATTCCTTTGCCCGTAATCAAGCAAAAAGCAGTACTGGTGATCCTACGAAAAACAATTGCTCAAATGAATATCGACGAGGATCTTGAATCTCTTATGTTACTAAAGCATAAGTAGGATTTTAATTCGAAAGTCGAACTCTTCGATAAGCAATAGTTAGATTGCAGACATCTTATAAGACTCGAGGACTTCGCCACATATCAGAATCACTTGATCATTCTTCGTTATGAAATGCATGAAAATACTACGCTTTACGAAATTTTGACAAAGAAGAATGTGGTCGAGTTAGCGACAACGCTCAAGTGGATACAGCAGGTGAGTACGACTAGAATCATTCCAGTATCTCTCAAACTGTTTCTTGTGCAGGAACTTTAGCCCAGAAGGTTGCTTTCGGAAGAACTTTGAAAACAATTATTTCCGAAAATTGTCAGAAAAAACTTTTTATCGTAACACCCCTTCCCGCCCAGCTCGACTGTTTCTTCGAACGCAAAAACTTTCAAGAAACTATTTTTTTGAATTCTACAGGGGATGCTTGAAATTGCTGCATACTTTTTCGATTTTATGTTATTGTGCACACAATAAAGTGCAATGTTGATCAACACAAGAAGTGTGATTTAGCTGCTTTTTTTCGAACCAAAAGTAAATTCATTTCCTCGTTCGAATTACAAATGTAGCATTCTCTATTTGTATGCGCATCAATCAAGGTTTCCATTTACTGCTGAACCATGAGCAAATGTTTTAGGCAGCTTCTTTAGCATTTTATCTTGCCAAGCAGGGATGTTTCAACTCCATACTCTGTGCACAGGTTTGTTCAGATACTATTATGTTTGATGTTATAATGAGCCTACAGAACCGCTTTGCATCATTATAGTGTCACAATCATGAATAACTTTTCAGACTCCGTTTACTTTCGAAACTTGAAAATACCATGGTTTTATACTGAATATCTAAAAAATATTTGGTCTCTGGGGAATACTAGGTTACCGTAGTGTAGTTACCTCAGAGCTTACGCGTCCAAAACGAATTTTATTCTAGAAGGTTTCGTCAACTTATTTGAAATCTTCAGCATAAGCGTAATCAAGTTGCGTTTATCTCTTGAGTTTCTTTTGCTTTAGCGCTCACTTGAGTGACATAGCTAGCCCTTACACTACACAAATGAGTCACAGACCACTGGTAAAGAAGTTATTAATGATCACCCTAACCTATATTCGTAGAGGAAAAAGCACCCAAGTAGATGGTATAGGTCGTCCGCGCTGGGCGCGGAGAGTGCGCAAGGTGTGTATTGCGCGTCACTCCTCTTTCCCCGTGCACTCTCGCCGCCTTATTTTCTCTGCGCCCGTACTATCTTCACTGTATGCGACAGCGTTGCTCTCCGCGCGCAGCGCGGACGGCCTATAGTTATAGCACCAAGTATAGGAGTGCAAAATTAGCCCTGTCCATCTGGAACTTTATTGTGACATTATTATTGTTAGACTAGTCTTTCGGGATAGATTCCGTAGTAAAGAGGTGCTAATATAGGGGCATTGAGTACTCTTTCTTTTTCTGTTCCCCTTTATGTTCAATTCAGTCTGCAACTCATTAGCCTCTCAAAAGTCTTATTCTTTTGTGTGATATTAACGCATTTCAACCGCTCATACAGGACTGCTATCTCGATGCGAACCAGAACATAAATTTTCGAGGAGCATGGAATACTTTTTGGCCGACTTGGCAAGAAGAAACGTTGAGACATGCATTTTACTGGAGGTGGGCTTTTACACCTATGCTATAGCGCTTCTCCAAAATTTGGCATATTCTTTTCCCTGAGAAAGATGCTCCGAAGCTGTATTGGCATAGCTCTCTGGCTTACCTTTGTCGAATGTTCGGAAAGGGAGGACCAAGCTATTATTTTGTAATCAAGATTAAGTGCAGGAAAGTAGTCCGAAAAAACAGAGTTTCAAGGGTGATGTTTGATCGGGCTTGCTTCCGTGTAAAAAGTGGAGATCATCTCAATGTCGTTTTTTTAAAGTCGGCAATTTCACAAGTTGAGCGGCAATTTCATAAATTAGGCAAATGCACGCTAAAGGGTTTCTGATATCGCATCTTCCAATTTTTTCGCCTTTTTTGTTGCTCTCGCATCCAACGACACTATCTACTTTGGACTTCGAAAGCGAGGTTTTGCCATATTTCTCGCTCAGATCTAAATTAAGCTGGGCGACATTGCCATGTAAGTAAGGCTTAGGAGTCTTACAAGGCAAGGATGTTTGGTCGAAGTGGCCTTTCAAGATGACATGCACGTTATCACGGAGGGCATAAAATGCTCATTCCTCCTTATCGGAGTGTTTCTGGGAGCGAAGTTATGAGGATATTTGGGAGCAAAAAATTGAATGCTCAATTACAGATGAGCAGTAGTATTTTTTCTATTGCGTAAATGTAGCTGTGGTAATAATCGCGACAATCTATGCAGTAAATGCTCTAAATATGAACATAAACTCGCTCATGTCTGTCTCATTCGAGCTAGGAAAATTCCAACAACTAATTCTCCCCTGTTGCGCATTCAATTTTTTGCTCGGAAAACGCTCATAACTTCACTCCCAAAAACATCGCGGATAAGGTAGGTAGGCTTGGAATCAGCTTTTTATGCCTTTCAAGACATCTCATTTTAGATTTCCACTTCGATCAAACATCCTTCTCTTGTTAGGCCTGCCTCGGGCATACTTCACGCGATTTCAATCTCGACGTCCTGGTAGTTCGCCAGATGTCTAAATGCAACGCTCACAAACTACGGATGCCTAATGTGTGTGCGACGCAAATTCATGAAATGGTCTATCTTCTATACATTCAGAATACGCTTACGGTAAGTTATAACCAATGGACTGCCAAATCGCTCGTTGTTGATAATGCGTGAAATGTGCTCCGGGGTACTGTACGGAGCTGCCGCGACTTTGCTTTCGAAACAAAAAACTATGTCGCACGTGAAAGCAGACGAGCAAGTAGAGATTAATGATAAGGCGCATTGCTGGTCGACGAACTTGGCGCATTCTCAACGAAACCATGAGACGATATAAACGCTCTTATAAATCACCTGAATGCGCTGACAGACAAGGGGCAAGTTCTGCTCTGTAACAAGAAAGCGCTTCTTCGCTCTCGAACAAGCAATCGAATTTTAAATTTTATCGCATTTAATGCTTGATCCTCCGCTTCAGGTACTGTGCAGAAAATTATGGGTATTTTTGAGGAGAATTCCACATTCTACTCCATTTCTGACCCAATCGTTCCCAAATTGTTCTCAAACCATACTTCTATGATGAACAAAAAACTCGAATATGTCGTGGGGGTTCACCATAATGTTGTGGTGTCACAAAGTTCGAATTCTGACTGTGGATGATAGTGGAAATAACACAGAGTAGACAACTTTTGCGTACGATAGCACATCCTAGTTGAGATACTTCCACTTTCCAAAGTCCACTATTTTTGCAGATTCGTAGCTCCAGAAACCTTGCTTCATCAGAGGAGCTTTAGTTCGAGTATCATATGGAATCTGGGCATTTTTATGTGGCAGTTGACGGTCAGCTGTCGTCTCACACCTTTCTTCCAGTAAGTATTTGTCTGTTTCATTTCAAGATGGCCTTGAAAACGAAAATAAAAATTACGTACCAGGTATCGTTCGCGACAGTCTTATTTGGATGCGATTCTCTCAGGCAGCATCATTTTGGTAGACTATGAACAGTCAGTTCTCGGTAGGAGCTGTAGTTATAGACTTTCTTGAAAATTTTGTTCAGCGACGTCGACAGCGTGGATATGAAGATACTAAAGGGTAGAGCAAACATCCCTCCTTCCACAGAGTAAGTCTCTTTTGTATACTAATGGTAGATATCAGACAGCAAATCTGCAAAAGATGTTCAATATGTGATAGCAACTGAGCACAATCTTGAAAAACATGGAATATGGAATATGAGCGTTTTCTTCGTAATTATTGATGTTATTTTTCAGCACTTTCTTCACCTTCCATTGAATTGCAATCAGCATCCAACTAGATATTAGGGTGATCCAAAAGTAATGGGGCACTTAAAGATTAAATGCAGTTTTTCTCAAACAGAAAACTTACTTGGATGCCAAAGTTTTGGCAGATGTTGATACATATCAAAGCCTTCCAATCAAGGTTTATAGATGGGTATTATCATGTGGCGTTATTTTTGTAAGCGCAAAAAGTCGAAGCTCATTACCTGAAGTAATTTTGAACTCTCAGCGGCTCCGCCGCAGTAAAACAAGTAGGCCTAGCAAAAATATCTGTGCAGCTATGGGAGAGAAGACTGTTGCCAAATCCACGACAGTCTGGTGGTCTTAACGCTTTAGAACAGAAGATATAGCATTGAGTATTAGGAAATACATTTTTTATTCTTTCATCAAGGTACTCAAATGAGCTCACCCTTGACAGATGACATCTGATAGAGCTTTTTACGCTCTATCCATTGCCTCTTTTGTACGAAGCAATAGAGATTTTTCGTACAATCGGGTATTCATTAGAAAGAAATTGAAAAGCTCTTTCGATTGATACGTCATGTGTCCAGGGACTTCTAGGTAAAGCAGCACAAATTCGGATGGCGTTCGAAAAAGCCTGTCTGATCTCTTGGAAGCGCCGCTCGAAAGAATGTGGGTCAGTTGTCGCAAGGTGCTGTCAGGATAACATGCGAAGGCCACTTTATACGAAAGCGTTCAATTTGCCTGCTGTCTACAGTTAATCAGAAAGAAACTTTTGAAAAATACTTAAAAAATCAGGGTGCCCCATTACTTTTGGATCACCCTAATACTTATATTTTTCACCTTGCACTTGTTTATAATTCAAAGCTTCGACTGAAAGCAACATGCAATTTTTCTCATACTCCATTTGAGCCCAGCATATGTAACCTACCAACAGCTTTATCTCAATAAATACCGCCTGAGGCACAAGCAGAAACACGTCACATTCTCAGCTGTTATCTGCAAACAACAATAGCGATATTTGAAGCATCTACCAAACCATCATGCAATGTTCCACACTAAACGCCATATTGATGGGCTTGAGGAAATAAACGAATGAGTTTTTTTTTGCTTCTGAGAACGCACGTGAACGCAAAGCATGGATGTTCGCGGAAAAGGGGAACCTAGCGCTGGTGGTCTTCACTTTAGTTTTCGTTTCTCGATAAAGAGATAAAATCTTTCTTTGTTATCGAGTACCTGTAAGGTAGCTTACCAACAGTCCAGCATACGATGTTTACAGCATTGAGAGCATGCGTTTTTAGGTTGTTAAGAGGACCTACGTTTTGTGAGTCCAAATTAGGGTCTGTACCAACTCGAATGTGCAGCAGTAATGTCCTATAATCTGACTTCCAACTGTTGAATAAGAGGAGAGAGATGTGTTCTCATCTGGTCTTTTTTGAATCTAATAGTAGCCTTCTAAATATTCTCTTTGGAGGGGGTACGAAGCATTTTTGGCTCTGTTTCGTGACATTCCAACAACCCTAGTGGTTTCACGCACTTTGGCGGTGTTGTGCTCCCATCAAGAGCAAGAAGTTGAATTCTAAACCTACACCTTGCGTTTCAGTGCAATGATCGCGCAGTGCGTGCAGCTGCAGCCGGATGAACGATGTCTGTGGTCAACCATACTCAGCACAACGAAGCGAGAGCGAGCGGTAGCAGCCATAGGAGGAACTGTGAAGCACTTCTTCCCCTTCATGTGAATAGACTCCTGTCCACTTTGTTCGAGGAGATCATCGAATCTTGAGCGCATGAAGACAGCCGTGTTTTTATAATTACTCACTTCCAGAGATTTCGGTTTGATACAGATCTTAATATGTTCTAATGCAGAGGTCCTTATGTCCTGGCAAGCCTGTCTGATGTTGAAGGGGACCTCTGGGTGACATTTTATTCCAGACAGTAGACCTCGGCAGCTTTGTGTTTCGCTGTTCAGAAACAAAGAGTTATATTTGTTGTCTTATCTGTTTATTCGAAAAAAATCTTCTCGTAAAAAGCGATACTTGTACAAGGTGTCTCAGAAATGATCCATTGTTTGATCTAAACTATCTCTCTTGCCTTGATGTCTTTTGCCACACCTTGGCCATTCTGTAGAGCTGGCTCTAATTTAGATCAGTACGGAAGGGAGCACCGACTTTCATTACTTTAGGATCTAGGTAATGATTTCCAGTATGATTTTGTTTTTGTGAGTTGTATGTCAAAAGAGAACGAGCGATTCACAGATAAGTCGATTTTCATATAAGGTCGCTTTTTTCTCATCCGATCTAATCCGTAAATAGCAGTGGCGGTCCCAGGATTTCCGTCCGGGGGGGGGGGGGCGGAAAAAAAATTTTTCAAACGAAGGTGCGTGGCGTTAGCCACGCACTCGGAAAAAATTTAGGGGGTGCTTCTCGAAATTTCGGGCCCAAGACTCCTAAAATCTAGAAAAAGGGGCGTGGCGTTAGCCACGCCCCCGAAAAATTTTTTTCTACAAGGCTAATTTGAATTTTTAAAAATTTTTAAAAATTATTTTAATTCTTTTCAAAAATAAGCAAGTCATTTGTACATTTTTATAACCCATGTAGGTGCACCATTTGCATTGCAGCGGCACAACAGTGAGATTGAGAGTGAAGTTCCGAACAAACATCTCATTGTCAGCCCTTTCCTCGTGGTATGAAGCATTAACTAATCAGTAGCTTAGTGACATTTTTCTGGTAGGAATTATGTCTATCAGAAGTCAGCTTGTCTAAACCCCCCTAACATCCTCTCCTGCAAACTCTTTAGCGACTCAAAAGCAGTGTCCAGGAATTTTGAGAATTTTTGCTTACCTGGACCTATGCGCTATTCTGGATCCGAAAATCCACACTGGACGGCACGAAAACGGCGAAAAAGGGCTCTAACGCTGGAGAGAATTTATAGTTTCAACTCAGTTCAGACGCAAATTGGACTGGCGGGAGTCCGCTTCGCAACGATTCGCGCCGTTTTGCAGTCTGCGTCTCCTCATCCTAATCTATCTCGCTGAGCCGGTGGCGGTGCAGATGCGCTTCCACTTAGAATGTACGCCTATTTCGGGTTGAAAAGTACTGTAGCAGGTGCGTGCGGCCCGCGCGCCTTGTACCCTTAGCGTACGGCCCGCGCGCACTATATCTCCCGTGCCACGCGCGCGCCTCCAATTCTCACACGCTATAAGCATAGTGGGTACCGCGTGAGGTACGACGCTGTGATTAGGCTGCTCCATCACCCGTGTAACTCTTACCATTTGAGCAAAAGCAGGGACATGAAGAGTTCCGCTCCTACGAAAGTTATCCCTCGACGTCCCGAACGGGTGCTGAATCCGAATTTCTGAATTCTATGAATTCAAATTCAAATTCTCGAATTTTCTAAATTCGGAATCTTTTTGGACTGTGAAATTGAGAATAAGAAGCTTTATGAAAGACTTATTCTCTAGTAGTACGCGAACGGAATGCTTTCGATACCGTGCGGCCCGCGCGCATTCACCGTTCGGCCCGGGCGCATTCACCGTTCGGCCCGGGCGCATTCACCGTTCGGCCCGGGCGCATTCACCGTTCGGCCCGGGCGCATTCACCGTTCGGCCCGGGCGCATTCACCGTTCGGCCCGCGCGCATTCACCGTTCGGCCCGCGCCCATTCATCGTTCGGCCCGCGCGCACTACAAAGGGCCGCACGGGAAGCGCGCGCGCCGCCCGCACCGAATGTCAGAGTGCGGGTTTGCATGCTTTCGCGCGAGGACCCACGCGAAACTGATGTGTCGGCATGAATCCAGGCGAAATGATCTTTGGGCCCAATTTGGAGACGAATATCTCAGCCGTTAGAGCATCATCTGAACCGCCGGTTGGGCAGTGTCTTGTTAGGGTCCTAAAATTACTGTCGAGATCCCCATATCCAGATTTGCCTGGACGTGCCTTTGGTACCACCCCTGCTCTCCGCGATAATATCATCAAGACAGATAAGCAAAGTAACATTTGTACTAAATCGGATGACCCATTCTGGGGAGTTGCCTTTGTCGCTTCCCAACCGTTCCCCGACAAGGCCGCACATTGCTGCGTAAAGTTGAGTGTCTGTTCTGCACTAGCTTAATCCTCTTGCAAACCGCTTTGCCCTAGAGGACGATGGATTTCATGGCAGGAGTTGAGCGAATCAACGAGTTTAGATAGGTGAGGTTTTTCTTGAACGGATGTGCTAGCTTATGTTGACAGCTGTTCAGGAATGCTATCAAATAGGAGCTCAGAAACCACCGCATCTTTGCGTTCTTCGGATGAGCCTTCCTTGGAGAGTGAAGAACCTTTTGAAGTCCTGGACTCGAGGGATTATGCTATGCAGAAGATGACATCTGAATGTGAGAACCATCGACGTACATAGCCATGATAGTTTCCATTATGAATGTCCTTGCAGCAGAAACAGAAAGCGGATCCAGTGATGAGCATATGAAGCTCAAGGATTCCTTGTCAGTCGATGAGAAGCCTCATTGGTATGCGAATGATGTGCGTGGGATTGAGCTTGTCGACTCCCGATGTTATAGGTTGGAAGCATTGTCGTTTTTTGTGTGTTAAAACGCTTTTTATCAGCTTGGTATTCCAGAACACCGAATGGCTTCCAGAAAGAAGCTACCTTTCCCTACAATCCCTTTTCGACATTGCACAATCAAATAACGAAGGTTGGTACATTACAGGTGGTTTGAAGCCTTTTAATGCATAATTTGCAGGCAGCAAAGCTATGTCCGAGGACCAGATACAGAATTCTCAGGTAATCCATCCTTCATGAAATTATCTAAACGGCACTGTGATTTGTCGCGCTTCAGCAGCCTACGTTCGCCAGAAGACGAGGACCTCTTGAACGGTTTACTTTGATGATTGGCGAGAATATACTACATTTCAAGATTGTCAAGGGAACCGAAAACAACAACCGTAAGTTTATGCATTCTCAAATTCACGTATTTTTGCAATAAGATTCTGTTTCTGTTGGAATTTCATCATGGGTTCATGTTAGCGGCTTCTTTTGGCAAGGACGACCGATCTACTGCCACCTATCGGTGGCAGTAGATCGGTTGTCATTCTGTCGCCTCTCGGCAAGTTCTGAATTGTGCTTGACAGCCTCCGAAAACAATCAGAAAGAGCTGGCACGTTAACGAGATTAAGCATGATGAAATATATGCCGAAAACTACATTATGTTAAGTTATCGTTGCGGATAAGAGTATCCAATTTACATCCAATATACATTCGCGATATCGGGCTTTTAATAATTGATGTCTACAAGAATTTCTCTTAGAGATGGCTCCACCCCTTTAGAAACCGCTTTTGTTAGTTGTTGTGTTCGCATCGAGTGTCTCATGTCAGTTTTAGGGTCTTTGAGTAGTACTAACATGCTATGCTATACATGACTAATATCGGCATATTTGAATTGCTCCGGTGAGGATAGATCTCTCCAGCGTACTAAAATAATTTCATAATCACTCTCATGGTCTATGTGCCATTGAGTGCTCTTTCATAGTCACAGACTGATCAGCCCTTAGGCCCCGGACAGACTTCACGCGATTTGATCGTCGCGACTCAATCGCCGACATTTCCATTCATTTTCATTTCACATTCAAAAATTTCGGGCTGTTGAAGTATCACAACTGAAATGCAAGTTGATCGGCATGGAATGATGTTGTAACAGTTGTCTCGTCGCGATTCATCGCGACGATCAAATCGCGTGAAGTCTGTCCGGGGCCTATGAAGATCTAACATCTGCAGACTTTTTTAGAGTCATTGGAAGAACCTTCTGGATATAAATGCTCGTCATGTGGAAAAGTGTTGTCATCGAAAAGTTTGTGGGAAAAACATACCGAGGTATATTTAAATCTATCTATCTTGCTTTTGTCTCACTTCAACTTCGCTTTTACGTTCGCTTGCTTAAATAACATTATCTTGTTAAGGACGCTCACTGCTGCTCTGTGAAAAATGTGCATTGCGTTACTTGTGGAGCTGTGTTTGATTCCAAAGTAAGCCTGGCACTTCACCTACGCCTCCACACAGGTAAGTCTCATTGCTTATGCAGGAAAGTATTGCTTCGATTGCGACAGGTCCTCGACCGTTCCGGTGCACCATATGTACTAAATCCTTTTGTCGTTCTTCTACGTTAGCACTTCATACGAAGATGCATGTTACTGGTCACCGACACTTTTGCCAGATTTGTGGTCGGTGGTTCAAATCTAGTGCGGCTTTGGCCGATCATGAGGTAATCACAAGCAAATTACAGAGTCTGCACTGGCTTTATATTTTTTCAGAATTCGTGTTTGTCTTCATTAAACGGAGACTTTATCAACATAAATCGCCCATTTCGCTGGCAGTGCTCATTTTGTGACAAAATGTTTCATCATAGGCGAGACAAGGTTTGTCAGTTTGAACTTAACTTTGTAGACCAAAAGATCATTGCAGAACATTCATGAGAGGGTGCACACCGGTGAAAAGCCTTACACATGCGGCTACTGCGGGCGAGGATTTACGCAGTCTCAGGTAAATTTTTTAGCCAAGAGTCGTTTGCCTAGATAACATCTGGAATCTTTTTCATTGTTACGGTAAATCAAAATCATTGTAAGAAACGCATCTCCGATGGGTAAATGATGTGAAATGATGAAAGGTTATTCAGTGTGTTTTGACCAAATTGTACCTCTCCTGATCATCATCTGGGTTATTCTTTACAAAGGTGATCGAGTGTTTTGTTGGAAGCAATATCCAGCCATGTCTGAGATTGGCATTTATACTTAAGCGACGGTCAAGCTTGAGGCTTCTTCATCTGCACCTTCAGAGCCTCATAGCGTGGCATCGTGGAAAGAAGTAAGCCTGTAATGAGTTTTGCGTTTTTGCCCAATTTCTTTTTTGTGCACACGACACATCGAGATGATTGGACAATGGATCCTCAGCAGTTAAGGTTCTTTCAAGCCATAAGTTCCTCAGGAAAGAATGGCTTGAAACTAATGTATGCTAGATATGTCCTTAGCTCAATATTCATCTAAAAAAGTTGTTTGCGATTTCAAAGACAAATTAATTGGGACGGGCGCGAAGTCAGTATAGGGGACGGATCCGAGTTGTCGATAAACTCGGCAGACTGATAGTTTACATCCCTATTATAGCACCAGAGCGGCGGTCTCGCAAAAAACGCTTCGCATGTTTTGTGCATGAATGTGCCTCTGTATGGTGGGTGGGATCGCTGATAACAATTTGAAGGAACATAGAAGCACCGCTTCAAGTACCATTGCTGAGGGTGCCTTCATACCGTGCCGATAGCCGCCGCTAGCAGCCCATAGCAGCCGCTGGCCGCTTTTGTCATAGGAGCCCAAAATCATCAAATTCTTACTATTTTGAGTGCAACCGCCCACGCTTTCCATCTTCTACGCTTTTTCCTTCCTGTTGTCGCAAATCGATCTCATATATCATATTCGTGTTCATTGTTGCTATTATCTTGTTGCCGTACATTGGTTATCCTATTTATCCTATTGGTGCTCAGTTTTCTTCTCGCAGTCGAACCATATTTCGCCAAATTTTCTTCGCGGTGTGATTTCTTCTGACTTTGGATGCGTCCAGTTTCTGCAGTGTTTATTTTTTAAGTACGGTTCTGCTTCGAACATATCCTTGGCCGGTGCTTATCTTGAATAAACTCTGCAATGTGTGAGAGGGGAACTGCACAATAGCCGCAATAGGAAGAAAGAGGCGTGGGAGATGGAAAGCATGGGCAGGCGCACTCAAGTAGTAAGAATTTGATGATTGCGCATCAGTCCCTGACTGCTTTCAGTTCAGCTTTATATGGCAGGCTTGTTACAAGATTGATTAGTAATTAAAACCTCTTACAATAGAGACCGACCATTTCTCGGTAGAAATGTCCATGGATGCCCGAAGTATAGACCGGAGATTGGAAGCGCTGTGCTCAACAATCGTGAGCTGACGGAACTATCCTTCGCTCGCCTGACGCACATTTTGTTTTGCTGTCATACTTGTTAGACACTCTGAAATCGAGTAGTGAGTGCTGACAGGACAATGATTTTGCATGAAGTCGCCATTAAAACTAGCAATGAAAAAGTTCGTTGGCATTAGAAGGGTGAAGAGGGAGGGGTTGCATGCTGCATGGGCGTGATCAGCCGAATCTGCTGTTATTTCAGGTAAATGTAAAGTCCCTTCTCTTTTGCCGTATGTCATTACTGCTTGCATTGTTGCCCAGATGCAGGATCACATTTGCAGCAAACGAGTTACTTGTCTCGTAACCTAATTTCTTTCAATCTCCAGACGCTGACCATACACATAAGAACACATACTGGCGAGAAACCATACCCTTGCAATATATGTGGACAAGAATTTAGAGACAGGTCCGTCTAAATTCTTTTAACTGTGAGGAACTTACGCACGATATATTTTTGAACGTTCAGCTCTGCACTTCGAAAACACGAGTACAGACATACAGCGCTGCCGTCTTCGTCTGTTTCCTCAATCTATGGTGACTCCGCGATAGAGCTTGATGTTGACGAAGACGATCGTTTGTGGAATGAAGGGGGCTCCTGACCCTCTGAGTACCTTTCTAGTTCATTCTTCTCAGATCTCATTCTTGTGTGCTTGTATATATAGTGATCATTTTGTATGTTTGTCTATTTATTACAGAATGAAAGTGGGTGCGGATAAAACTCAGAAAGGACACAGATCATGTGTCAGATGCCAGCAAAAGCTAATCGGAATTTTGCTAGTGTTCATGCAGTAGAGTCGGGACATTATCTACAACTGACATTGAGCGCTTCCGACCGGGTGTCACAAAAGCATTCACAAAATTATTCGAGTTATTTGATTGATTAGAGATCATGCTGCAAGCTTTTTTCCATGCTGCATACGTAGATATAACCAAAGGCAATGGCATTCGCTTAGCGAATTGTTGGAGAGCAATTAGTATACCCGAAAATCATCTTTTTAAAACCGTGATCATTCGTAAACATATAAGGAAAATCATTCGTAAACATATATAAGGAAATGTTGATTCTTAGAGAAATCTGAAGGATTGAAGGATATTCACTGTCCAACTTGAATGCGAACAATTCCGCAAGAAAGATCAGTTCAGCTACGAAGATGATAATGTCAGCCCGAAATCACCCCAAGACATGTAGCATCAATTACCTTTAGAGCGACGGCGGTCGCGCAATGTTCGTTAGCCTTCACAACTTTTTTTAGCAACGATTCTGATACTCTAAAACAACGATTGGACGTTCCCTTTATTGCAAAATGCATCTAAGGCTGTTGGAATGAACCACTATGTTTTACAATCGAGAACAAGCTGCTATTTGCATAACTTTATGACTCGATAGACCAATTTTTTGGGAATTCTCACTCATTTCTGCGGTTAACATTTAAGTCAGAAGCGTTCATTCAACTTGAAGGCTTCGCTCTCGGCAACAGACAACAAATAACAACAACAAAACAACAAAAATGATACAGCATGAGACAAAAATAACAAGATCAACAATATTTTGAGGGCAAGTCTGGGAAACATTCAAGCTGAAGATCCTGCGGCGGCCTTTGCCATTAGCTTCTTTCGTTTATTCTTAACCATTTTGGCACTTGTTTTAGCAAGCGCTCGTTTTCCTATTTTCTTCTTGAACGTTTTCTGTTTCTTGATCTTGTGAACAAAGCCAGTCTGCAAACAAATGTCATTTTACGATATGATCTATTTTCTTTACCTTGTTGAATCCATCATCCGAGGCTGGTACTTTCTTCGCCAAATTTTTCAATTGATTTCGCTTTTTCTTCATTTTCCGTTTGCTACTTCCTGGCACCTTGCTGGTTTCCTCTCAAAAAGATACAGTCCATAAATACATGCAAGACCGTAAGATCACAAAAGGGACTACAAATGAAACTAAAAATACATACCATCGTCAGAAGTATCGCTGCCCTGTTTCTCATTTACTTTTGATGACTTAGCCTTACTTTTCTCACCATTTACTTTCGCTTGTTTCTCGACTCCATTGTTCTCCAGGTTTTCTCGTTGAACCTGTATTTTTTCTGCTAATAAAAGCCCGAAGACACTAATAATCTAAAATTCTCACTATATCCACACTTGCTTTGCCCATCTTCGCATTGGAAAGTTTCTTCAACTTTGCAACAAAGAATCCATCAATATTATGCACATGTGGGTAATAACGTCTTGTCAAGCTGAGCGATGGATGGAACCGGTACTCGCGGAATCTGTTATAAACGACTAAATAGTGTGAAACAGTATATTCATCCCATCAATGCAGAAAACTTCGATCTGATTCTAAACCGAAATGTAAACGGCGCAATGAAGTACGCACATTAGTAAGTAGCGTCGCATTATTTACATGATATAAAGCAAAAACGCCTTCTCAAATTGTGCGTAGGATTTCACTTACAAGGGTTATAAAAATATACAAGGTGACCTGTTCACATTTGTACATAATTAAAATGATTTTAAAAATTTTTCAAAAACTCAAAGCCCTCGAAAACCTTGAGGAGCGCCTCAAAAAATTTTTTGGAGCTGACGCCACGGATCTTCAAGTATTTTTTGCCCTCCCCACCGAAAGGAAATCCTGGGAGCGCCATGGTTTACAGGAGATCAAGTGTAGCCGCGACCAGATGCTCCCAAGAGGGGACGCATCATAGTATTACATCGGGACAATTTTGTACCATTGCAACTCAAGGGTGCGTGCAGTCAATGCATGGCACAAAAAGTTATCAAGTCATTGTTTAATGTTCCCAATTCATGATTCTGAGTCCTCTGGATAAGCTCAGTCCAAGAACTGCCTAAAAATTACAAAGATGCTGATATCGCTTTTGGTAACTGCTTTCTGACATCCTTGCAAAAAATAGTTTTGATTCAGAAAGACAAAAAAAAAACGGGAAAAAATTCAAGTCGAGAATGTACCTGGAAATTTGAATGTGCTATGAAAGTTTGGAAATGACCTGAGAATTGAGAACAACCGATAAAATTCACCTGGTGAATCCTTCCACACCAACTTCCAGACCGCAAGGAACCAACTCGCAGTGCCTTTTTTGCAATGCATAATTCACAACAGCTTCATTTTCTTCGACCTAAAAATGAACTTACGAAAGATTTAGTTACGAAAACAAAAAGGAGCAATTGCCAAATGTTACAGTAATAAAGTTGTTAACGTTCGTACCAAAACCGAGCAAGTAGAGTAAACGACGTATCCACCGCTGGGGGATTTCGCGTCGACAGCGTCCAGTGCGGCTAATATCAATTGTCTTTGTACAGTGTGCCTGCAATAAAAATTTAGATTGCACGATGATTGACGCACCATTAAACGCACTTTCGCTGTATATCTTGGCTATCTTTGCTGGTTTTTACAGACTGATCCTTCCAAATTACACCTGTTCCCGAACACGGAGCATCAAGAAGAACACGATCGAAACCATTCGGAGCTAGCTTGACAGATATTGAACGATTATTTTTTATAGGACAGGCTGTATACGATAGCGTAACAGCATATTTCACCTTTGCATATTCTTCTCCTCCCAAGTTGCTCACAATAGCATTGTTGACTCCTAGTCGGTGCAAATTGCCTATGATGGCTTTACAACGATTGATCTGAAATCGAAAGTAAAGCTAAAATAAGCAAGCGCTTAAAATTTGTACCCACTTTTGCGTCGTTGGCAAAGAGTACGCCGCTATTTTTCATGAGACTAGCTATGTGGGAAGTTTTTCCTCCTGGTGCTGCGCACATGTCAAGCACTCGATCACCTGGCTGTGGTGCAAGCGCCATTACCGGCAATAAAGAATTTAGACCCTGGATCATATAATGACCAGCCAGGTATTCCGGAGTTGCTCCTGAAAACGATATTTTTATGCTTGGTGACACGAACAAGTTAAGGTTTAAGGTTAAGCATGCTCACCTACGGGGACTTGTGAATCATACACAACCAAGCCAACTTTCGTCCAAGGCGCAGCAGGGTCTACGTTCATACCACGGTTTATCAGCGCCTTCGCCAGATCTCCTCTACAAGATAGAGGAGGTTGTATGTCATCGTGCAATCGCCCATGACCTCATCACCATACTTTGCTTGAAGGCAGTGTCCGGGAAAAAACGTTTTGAGACTTTTGCTTTCCCAGGCCTAATCGCTATGCTGAATCCGAAAATCCACACTGGAGAACCCGAAAACGGAAAAACTTTAACGCAGATGGAAATCAGCAGCTGGGCGGGGTCTTCCCCACTGTGAATTCACGCTCCCAGCTTCTCAAGCGATCTTCTCAAATTCTAAACGGACATCTTCATCGGTGAAATGCGAACGCTTGACTTGAGATCGTAACCGAGAAGATTGCTCCGGAAGCTGGGAATGCGAACTCACAGTGAGGATGGCACCGCTCATCTTTGATTTCCCTTCTGTGTTAAATTCCTTTTTCGCCGTTTTCGCACTCCCCAGTGCAGATATTCGGATTCAACATAGCAATAAGCGGGTAAGCACAAAATCTCAAAATCGACTTCCCGGACGTCGCCTTCAAGGTATAATTTCAAAATGTGTACCTTCGCGTTTTCAACGTATTTGTTCTGATGGTCACAGGACGTTGCTGGTCGTTAGCATCGAGAAATTCGATTAACTGAACATTTGGATCAATTCAAAAACTCTAACATGTTCACAATCACCTCTGATGCTTGCGGAAATAGCTGCATAAACTTCGACATAAGGTATTCATTGTAGCCGTAGTTGGAACACAAATCTTTGGTGAGTATGGATACATACTCATCACGGCTTCTTCCCTCTTGTCGTCTATTCTTGAAATCTCCCAAAACCTGAGAAAAACCTCTAAACTGAGACTAGTCATCTTGAAAGTCTTTTTATCTATTTTAACCTGTACGGCACAGAAATACTGAAGTTGAGACTAGTTAATTAGGAAGAAATAAAGGTACCAAATAGTAATTTCGTTGGACTAAGTTACTTAATTACATGCTTAGTCCAAAGTTGCTTGCCTGCACTACTTCATGTATCCGATCCTTGATTATCTGAAGATTAGGAACTTCTCTCAATTGCTTTTCAACTTCGTCAACGCTCGGCAGCTCATACTGCTGCTGACCTGCGATGTTCAAGCGCAGCTCGGAATCGGCTTCTTGTCTTGAAGAAGTTCTTTGCACCACGTACTAAAATAAAGAAAAAAACTCACGCAGTTTTTGCTTTCTTTCGGTCAAGCAGCTTCGACTTCCGCTCAATCGGTAAATCTTCATTTTCAGAATCACTGCCTGAAGTACAATTCATCGAAATAAAGAATTGTTTTTGATATTTCATAAGGTGAAATTAGTGCCAGCACTTTTCGCTTTAGTGGAGATCGTTTCTCAAAACATGACGCAGTTAATGAAGCAACCACCACTAATGTGAAAAAAAAAACGATGTACATAAAATACTATTAGGCTGTGAGTCTATGCTTTTGTGATATGAACTTGCAGCACACTGCATAAGATTCCGAAGATATGCTGAACATAAAACAACAAACATCATATTCGATAGATAATCAAACGCTACAGACTGACCATTATTACTAATATCCTCGTCGTCACTTCCGAAGTCATCACCCATCTCCACATCGGAGTCATTATCATTGGCAAACTTGAAATCGCCGTTCACGTCATCATCATCGGAGTCAAACAGAGCATTTTTCTAGCAAAAGCAGAATGAGAAGAAGATTGTTAAGAGAAACGTTTCGCTTTACCTTTTTGATTCCATTGGAGTTCCCCTCCAAATTAGCTGAGGATGCTTCCTAAAAAATTGCACCAAGGAGTCTCCTACATAAAAAAAAACAATGCAAGACATTCGCATAGATTACACTACGTGGCAGCACCACGTGAATGCACAGTGCTTATGCTCAAAAGTGAGAAACTTTCACTCAAAAATGAGTTCCACTCAAAGCCAACACTACACTGCGTGTTAGAAAGGCCCATAACTGCCTTGACCTTTGCAACACTCACTAAAAAAATCAAAATGGTTGGGCAAATCGAAGTCCACCAGTACGAATTCGAGACCGCCCATGTTTATGAGAGTTGATGAATATGCCCCATAGATAGTGTTTAGAAAATTATGTGATATATATTTGAAAACGTGAAATAAAAAGCACTTTATTACTGGAAATACGTCGAATTACGAAATGTTCTCACCTCTAATTTCCCCTCTTTACTTTTTGGCTTCTTTTTCTTTGTCGGTAACCCAGTGGACTGCGCTTGTTGAGATGCCTAGAGCTACAAACTCACTATATCATGTCGAGATTATGATAAAAGTACCTTCTTGGATTTCTGCTTCTTTTTTGGTGAATCCTTGATGACCGCAACATTCTCATCCTAAATGAAATTCAAAATGGTTAAGTGAGATGTCAGTTCCAATAGCAACTGCACGGTTGTCATAAAAGCGAAAGATCGAGCAGAACAGCTTTTTAATATCCCTTTTTCCTACTATTTCTCGTGTTCCACTTCTTTTGAAACCTTTTACACTTAGATTCAGCCTTTGATCCATCCCTGGAACTAAGAAATTAATTGCAGTTTGAACATTTCAAGTTGTAGTAATAGGGAATGGCTCAATTCGCTGGCAGTAAGGCTTGATATATACCTCGCTTCTTAGGTATGGACAAAAGCAACGAGCAGCGAAGGCAGCGCTGCTTCGGCTGATCAGCGCTGCAGTCGGCTGCTTCTTGAGTGCTGGTTGAGTGCAAAAACCATCCGACTGCGCTATCGCTAAGTTTTACAATGTCGAAAACGAAAGAATTAGCATGTTGAGCTGGATCTGGAGTTATATTTCTACTTTCATGAGAAACTTCATGTTTCATTTTCCATTAATTAAATTTATAATAGATAGTAGCCTCATACGAGCAAACATAAGTGGAGCATAATTGTACTGATTCCCTCGACCCTTATCCATGGCTGTCCCAGCAATATGAGAGTCTCTCTCAGGCAATGAATCGGAGTCCACTGGAGGCGAAATTTTATCTGACCACACCGCCAGTTTCTTAATTTCTGCCAACCTGTAGTTGACTTTTTATTGCTTCATATCTCTTCATCTTCATGGAGTATGTCTTCCCCGTTCATCTCAATGTTTTCCCCGGCCTCTAAAATCCTAATTTGATGATTTTCATGCAAGAAAGACAGACTTTGCTTTTAAAGCGCTAATTCCAGCTTAAAAACCGGTAAAACCCAAAACCCGTACTCGTGCAGCTGAAACTGAAGGCGATGCAACAGAAATGACCCTCAGGATTTACGGCGTGCGGCCTATCGTTGCTTCTGACCCCCCCCCTCCTCCCCGACTAGCCGACATGTTTATTTTGTATGATGTGTAGACTCGAATAGCAAAATCCTCAATCCATAGAAGCCGTGACTTCCTTAAAAATTACTCGGACTGTTAGGCCCCGGCCAGACTTCGCCCCGAGGCGTCAAAACGCCCAAAATTCTCTAATCTCCCTTCACTTTCTCTATCTCTCCTCACACGAGAAAGTGAAGAATTGGAGAAATTTAGGCACTTTTGGGGGCTTTCAGGCCAAGTCTGGCCTGGCCTTACTGGCAAGTTCCAGGAGAACCAAAAGGGTCAGCTAACGACTAGATAAAAAAATTCAGCTAACGACAAAACACCCACCTCCTCAACCTTTGTTGCCTTTCTTTTTGTGGCCTTCTTCAGTTTCTTCGCTGTGACGATCCCTTCAGTTTGCATTGCTCTAGAATTTAGATCAAAGGAAAGTGTGAAAATGTGAAAGGTGATGGTCAACGTCGGCGTCGACGCCGGTGCTACCGATAAAAAGAAGATGAACATACGAAGCAACAGGGAAGGAAAGTCCTTAGTGTATTTATCTATTATTTATTCGCTGCATAACACAAAAACCATAGAAATGCAAAACTTTTGGCACATGGAAATGAAAAGTATTTCTGTGACACGCCAAAGGATGCAACCTTCTGCAAATGCGGAAGAATGCTGAGTTTACGTCTCCTTCGCAGTTGGCGCACTTTTCCGCATTTTCCATTCGCTGTAAACAACATGAAATCCCACCAGAACTTTACATTTTAAAGATACGTCTCTTTATCTCGGCTGGAGAGAAGAGAATGAAGATTTGCTCCTTTTGTTTTCCTTCTGTTCTCGTTTTCAATTTTACACAGTCCATAGAAGCTTGATTCATAACTTGTCTTGATCGAACTTTTGTAACTAAACTCTTTTTGTAACTCACTAACTTTCGTAGTATCATTTACCCACGATTTCGCGTTAAATTTGCTGCTGTAAGGTGTTTTTTTTTTACAGCTATTTGAGGGCTGAAGTTAGCGCTGCTTTTGTGTCATCAGTTTGAGGTCTCGATACAAATGTGCATCATTAGGTGATGGTCGATGAATTATTACTTTTCCTTGTGATTTTCATTCTTTTGCAGACTCAGTTATACACTGTCACTTCAAATTCATCTTCTGTCTCGTCTCACCAGCATTTGTCGTTTTTGTCATTAGTGCATTGCCCTTTTTAGTCATATAGCATATCTTTGTCCTCGGTGCAAACGCTTTTTTATGGTGAACCTCTTCTAGTAGACTGTTCGTTGGCGTTTAAATTACTAACTCGCTATTTCAACACTGTTCAAATACGCATAGCTTGCATTGACGGTGAGTCATTCTTATGCGCACCAATTCCCCCTTCCTCTTTATGAATGTTGCTCTAAAACAAGTGTCTGTTTTCCACCCAACTTTCACCTTCTCGCTTCTCGTCGAATTTTCTGTTTTGTACCCGCTGTTTTCCTGAGCCTGTTGTAAATATATCCACCAGTGTGCGGGAGGGGGAACGGCTTGTTGCACTAGATTTTCATTTTTCCTGTCAAGGAAGTATACCGCATTGAGAAACTGGGAAGAGATTCATTTTGGAAACGTTTTCAAAAGCTGACTTTGAATCTGCATCCATATCTGCGGAGGATTACCTAGAAAAGTCGTAAGCGCTTGTAAGTGTGTCAAGTATTTGGCACATGCTTGACATAAAGCATTTTAGAAACACTGTTTGGCTCCCGTTGGGTATACTCCTTTGTTGTCATTCTATTCAAATTGTCTTATCTGCATAATCATGCTGGGTTTCATCTACATTATCAGTTAAAACTACAATAAGTTCGCAGTTTGCAAATTCTTAACTCCCAGAGAGTCGTTCCGCAGAATGAGTAGATTTGAAATTAGCGTTTGAAGACGCTTTTGAAGATAAGTACATAGCTGCCTATTTGTCACTGCGGTTTGTTCTTTTCTTGTCAGCATTGAAGAAGTAAGCTTCATAATGATATGGCTTGTCGATAGTGAGGACTTCGCTTGCATCGCAGATTCTGAAGCTGGTCGGTTTTGGCCTTTTTTCCTGAATTACCCTGTTATTTTGCCGCTGAGCTATTTTGATCTTACCAAACTCACAGTTTCTTCTTCATCTGCGGCTTCTGTTTGCTTAGTTTTCTCAATTTTCGCTTCGACTACCATTCATATCTCAAGATCCTGCACATCACAGCTTTTTTAGATGGAGTTCCTTTTCGGGCGTCGAAAAACACCAGCAGAGCTGCTACGTCAGAATCAACGAGCGCTAAACAAAGGTTTGCGTGACACTTGATATAGCTTACTTTTTATGGCTGATGACTTTTTCTGCTAGTCAGGACTCTATACTGCTTGCGCATGAGTACAGATCCTCTTTGCTTGTAAAGCTAATCTTGTGCTTTATGCTTCCTGTATGTACTTATTTTTCTGCTAATACATGCGTAATATTCAGCTCATGCGCTCATGTTAGGTATGTATATGGCATTGATTCGGTATTAATTAATTCGAAAATTCAAAATGCTTAGATTTTGCCCTTTTTTCCTCATGGGGGCTCTTTGACATGCTTGCTAGGGGAACGTTCAAACATGGCTAGGTAACACTTCTTTGGTGGGGTTACCTAGGCACCTGGCAAGAGATAAAATCTCAGAAATCGCCAAAAATACTTTGCATAGCAGGTTCGACGTGCATGCTGATCATGAATTTCGTATCTTCTTGGTACGATAACAATCGTTGCGATATTTGGTGAATGCATGCCTGAAGACCAATAGTCTCACAGCAGATATTTACCATTACGCGCCTACATGCTCTTCGTGGTGAGCATGCTGTAACCTCCTTCCTAGCAGATTTCGTATGAAGACCATGAGTTCTGACCCATTACGTGGAACACTTTATCGAGAGGGGCAACCATGAGAATATAGTATTAATTATAATGTCAGATAAATGTGCAGAGTTCTAGCGCTTGAGGAAAAGGTGTTGTTATTCAGAGTGAACAACGCCATTTTAAATCTTTTCTTATAGTGGAACTTTACATTATATGATTCTAATCGCTTTCTTTCAGCTATAAGAGAACTTGACCGCGAAAAACAACGTATGGAAATGCAGGAAAAGAAAGTGATTGCAGAAATCAAGAAAATGGCGAAGCAGAATCAAATGGTAAGCTTCTTTTGTGGCCGCTAAAACAGCAGGTATGGGTCATTTTAATATCGGATGTTCAATCCAGGACTCCGTCAAAGTCATGGCTAAAGATCTCGTCCGAACTCGTCGCTACATAAAGAAGTTCATAATAATGAAGGCTAATATACAAGCAGTCTCCCTCAAGGTTCAAACTTTGAAGAGTCAGGATGCTATGGCTCAGGTTAGTGTTTTACCCATGCTTTTGCCTTCACTGTCTTCTTGACGTCTTCACTAGGTTTTCTCCTATGAGTAATAAAAATTTTTTGCTTTTACGTCATTTGTAATAGTTTGATTCTCAACTATCACTATCGCTGGCTAATTTCTCTAAACTATATATCGTTCCGTGATCTTTACTATGGCTGATATGGGAGCATCTCAGTTAATGCTTTTCACTTTGGTGAAAAGAGTTCACGTTTCTCTTCATGTTTGATAGATGGGGTTTCATCAGCGGTTCAACACTTTGAGTTTCACGAGAAACGAAGTCTAGTGACAAACGGGGCTTTGTTTGATTGCACAACATCCTCAGTTTCCTTCACTCTGAACTTATATATTGTTATAGTTTGCCAGATCTTATCTTCTTTGATAATTTTTCTTTTTTTCAATTCGGCCATCATTTGGAGGATTGGTCAGCCTCAGTTTCTGAGTAACATTTTTGAAATTTCTCCTTCATATCAAACTCTTTCGAAGCTTGGTATCCACACTCATTTTTTCTATATGGAGCCAATCGCTTGATAAATGATTAAGCATTTTTGTCAAATTTTAGGCAATGAAGGGCGTCACACGAGCAATGCAGTCAATGAACAAGCAGCTGAATCTTCCGCAGATACAAAAGATCATGATGGAGGTATGCAGTTTGTTGGTTATATCGATCTCGTTTTATTTCCGTATGCTTATACCATTTTCTTTTAATTGGGGCGAAGTCCTGTGATGTTCTTATGTTGGGGCATTATCCGAGCAAGATTTAGGAGTCTGAAATTTCACTTTGAACATTCAAGTCCCTAACAAACATCACTGTTCCAAAGACAGATAGTTGTCAGAAGCAACAATATACTAATTGAGATTGTCCTTGTCTGGAATCTTTATGAACGCTTAATTTTTGGACTTTTTCGAACGCCTGCAAGCTTGTATTCGTGTTTGCTGCGGTTGAAAGCTTTAATGAAATGCAAAAAAAAAATCAGGATTGGAGTTTCGCGCGCCTCCGCCTTCGATTATGACAGCTCTACAAAGATTTCAGGAATTGATAAAGCATACACAGACACTGCCTACTCTTTTAGTTTGAAAAACAAAGTGAAATCATGGACATGAAGGAAGAAATAATGGGTGATGCCATTGATGACGCTCTTGGAGATGAAACTGATGATGCTGAGAGCGAGCAGATTGTCAATCAGGTGTGATGCTTTGTAAGCTTTTGTTGATACTGACTCGATTTCCTGTTCAGGTGCTTGACGAGCTAGGTATCCAGATGGGAGAGGAGATGGCAAGCCTGCCCACAGCCGGTGGACAGATTGGAGTTTCAACCGGCGAGAAAGCACGACAACCGGTCGCTGCTGGTGGCTCCGGTGGCCCTAGTGGTGGAACTGATATCGATGACGATCTGCAGGCTCGGTTAGATCAACTAAGGAGAGAGTGATTTTTGACACCTGTGTTTGTATCTTCACTGCTGTAGAGCCTTTTGAAATAGAGGCGATTTTCAAAAGGCTGTACATTTTGAAAGTCTCTTTATGCTCCTGGCGCTAAAATTCACATACATTTTTTGATTCTTTTCTCCTTCCGGTCTTTATGTCTTTTGACTCGTTCCTTGGCCCTGCTGCATTCCGCTGGGTGTGTGTTTCTAGCCTTCTTCTACTAGATTGATTTGATTATTGCAATAACTTGCATATGATACGCATGTTTCCGCAGCTTTTGTCTTATATACTTGTATAAAATTTATAATTAGTAGTTGGTTGCAGCAGCGTATCATCTCATCTGTCAAAGATTGATGAAGCATCGGGCTGTTGATTTTCTCAGTATCAAATGAATGGCATTGCCTTGGATATAAAAAACTTACAAGTCTTAGACCTAGTATTTCGTAGCAGGATCTGTGTGAATTGTATCGAAAGCGGATTGACTGCTGATATATTAACGTCGTTGACCTAATCGCATTTGGACTTTTACACTCTTCATTGAAAGAAGACTCGCAGAGCCAGCCTTAACTAAAAAAAAAAAGACTGTCTAGAATGTTTTGTCAGACTGGGTGTAGAATGTTTTGTCCGTTTTCGTTCTGATCATTCAACAAACTCATAGAACACGAAAGACTTACGTATCGTTTATTTCAGATACTATTTATGATAGCTACAATTTCTCTCCGAAGGCAGTCTTTGTGAGATCATCACCATGGCTCTTAGAGCAGTACAATAGCTGCGCCAAATCTTTTCTGATTCTCCAAAAATTTTTAATTTAGCATTTTAATAGATTGCTGATAATTATCATGTTGAACAGGCTTTGATCAAATTTTGTCTTTTTAGATTGCCTAGATTAATCTGAAGTTTGTAATAGTTGTTTATAAGAACAACGCTAGTTTTTTAAACATATGCAGAGCATAAGCGTACTAAAAATCTTAAAACCTGTTTTTGAAGAATTTCGCACAAATAATGTTTAATGACTATCAAATTTCAATGCGCAGAAGCTTCTTATTGTTAGACTTTCATGATTTTGCGGCAGTCGTGTATATCAACATCATCAAAATCGACATGAAGATATAGTTCTGTAGAACTTCCAACAGCAAACCGGAAGAGTCCAACAGTTTTGGCAAACAATCTTTTTGCTCTATTTGTGTCTAACCTACCCTCCAACAGTTCAAATGTTGAAATTTATGAAAAGAATTTTGAGCACATAGAAACGACGGAAAACTTTAGCAATTATCAAGAAGCTTCCAAGAAATAATGGTACGAAAATGCCACCAGAAGGAGAAAAGAAAATGCATATTTGGTTCCAAAATCTTTATCATACGAATTTTTATATTCGACTGAAAGGACAAAAACTGTACACCTAATACAATCGACATGCCACACATGCATACTGAGACCAGTACCACAACATGACCTTCTGGCTGCTTGCTGGTGTGGTTAAATCTTGAGAGAACTCCTATTCTTTTTTTGGTGTGCACACCTGGATTTTTTTGGAAAAAATATATTGAGGGGAGTGCATTTTGATACAAGCGGCCGAAATATCGAATTTCTAGGGTATTTACCAGAGTTTGAATTCTTTGACCTCTGGACAAATAGTAGTGTTTACAATCTAACTGAATAGGTTTACAGCGTTTAACTTAGTAGTCTCTAGGACGTACGATATTGACGGTGATTTTCTGGGGACTGAGGGTGGGAAGATGGAGTGGAGGAATTGCGTGGAATTTATTTTTTTGTTGAGAAAGTTCACAATATTAACGATCTTCTCTGTTCTCGCATTGCTTAACTTTACTGGTTATAATTTCTAGTCATAATCTAATGATATCTTAGACATATTAATACTTCAAGCTTTGAATCAAAGGCGTCTTTACTGCTGAAGGTGGTGTCACTGGTGCGAACTTTCCTGAGCCAAATAATGTTGGGGTGGAAGGGCTCATGTCAGTCTCCCGAGTTCCTCGTGTTGGTGCAAATTCGTGTTTGTGTATGTGCGAGGGTGTGGATCGAGCGGCTATTCCACCTCTACCCATATTTGTCCGGGACAATGCTTGACCGCGCACTATGTTTATGCCCTTACCGATATCTGCAAACACTGCTCCACTCACCTCACTCTATTCCATCAAATCTCCTTTTCTATTCGGGCGGAAATAATCTGCTTCAGTCACTAACTATTTGATATTCAGTTATTCTATAGAGCTCAAAAAGCCATCATCCATTCAGTTTCTAGACCTGTGGTTTTTGCTAGATTTTCCTTTTGATATCTACATTCTCTTCCTCCCCCCCCCCCCCCCCCCCTCCACGAGAATGGGTCGCGGAAATTTTGAAAGTTACTTGAATTTGCTTTAAAAATGTGCAAGCGACTTGTTTTTGCTTGTAAAGAATCAAAACTATTTTCAAAAAACTTATGGATTTTCAAATTAGTCTTGTAAAAAAAATTTTCGGGGGCGTTTTCAGGATCAAGAATTCGCAGAAATCTTGGGAAGCTTCCCAAAAAATTTTTCGGAGTGCGTGACTCACGCCACGCACCTTCATAGAAAATTTTTTGTTCCCCTTCCCTCCCCCCCCCTCCGGACTGAAATTCTGGGTACGCCACCTGCTTACAGTAGAAGTGAATTTTTGAGTAAGTGATCGTCTGCTTTTCACGGAGAGTAGGCAGCCCCGTTTTTCTAAAAGTTCATTTATATGATTTCCATGAAATATTGATCACTTCTTTATGCTTGTGGATATTTGCATAGAAGTTCTCATAATCGTTTTTCTGCAAACGCACCTACTCCCTGTTTTAACGAATGGCCTTGCTCTTCACCTTCCATCGGTGCTGTTGTGTACGCTAATATTATGTGCTTACATCAAAATGCGAACATTCACTGATTTTCAAATTACTTTTGATTTTACTTTGCTGGTCGCATCCTGAGAATCTGAAAATATTCTAAGCAGCACACAAAGGTGCAGCTGTCAGCGGCCCATTAAGAAAATACGGTAAATGAGAATTTTGTGAAAATGCCGAACCATTATCTTTGATCCAAATCGAGGAGATACGGTGCTTGCGGAAGGTTTTTCAAAATGAGGTGTATATTCTCTAACTTATGGATCTTGAGATTATACAAATTGTATGATTAAAGAAAACCCTATCAAAGGTATGTCTCGTTAGTTCTCAGAAGTTGTCTCCCACGGTAAGAAAATCAGGGGCACGACAAAAGAGTAAATGAGCCCCGTTTGAGTTTGTGATATAAAAAACTATACCTCAATTATACACATCTTCCAGATGGTTATTTTGCTAGTATTAAAAGTACTTACCCCCTTACTAGAAAAGTAATCGGATTGTTAATGCTTACTTGAGGCTTAGGATTTTGTGCCCCTAAATGATGAAGATCTCAATCACCTGACTTGCTGCTTCTCTTTTTTGTGTTTGTAAAGTTTTTTACTCTTTAACGGACACAAAAAATATTTTTCTTCCTTTTGCTCCTCTCCCTCACTTCTGTCTTTGCTGCCTTGAGCTGTTGCTTTATTTAATTCCTGGCATGCTATTTGCGTTTTTCAAAACGTGACTGATTTGCTTACCTTTTAAAAGCGCGAGAAAAAGCTGTGAAACCAAAACTGCATCATGCTTTACGGCTTTGTATAGAGTGTTCGTCAAGACTGTTTATGTTTATTCAAGCAAGAGAGGGGAGCTCAAAAAACAACGAGCTAGTTTGAAAGCAAAAGTGTACGAAAAAGGCGAGAGGCGATTGAATTTGAAGCTGGGTTTGTGCAAAATGCATGGAAAAGATGTTGAATTGTATGCGAAACAGACATATACATTCTCGAACGATGCCGGCTGAACAGCGAAACGTCTGCATCATTTGTTTATGGTGTGATGGGAAAAGAATTTTGACCAAGGCTCGACACGAGATGGTACCAGGAACTTCAATGAAGTCCCCGTTTATTTCGCCAAAATTACGGTATGCTCTATGAGGTGCTTTAAGGAAAAAATAGGAAAACAAACAGCGAAATCACCAAAAAGGTCAGCACATATTACAAGTAATGATGTGTAGTTTATTCGTTGGCCGCACGGACTGGACATTACTGTGGAGCACGTACTGCGAGGTAAAACGCTTGCTCCAGTACAAATTTGCTATTTTACAAGCCTTGCTCTCTCGACAATTCAGCCGCGTCGCGCATGGTCCGCAGCGTTTGAGTACTCCGTGTGGTCAATGAATCGACGATAGGATAGGCCTGTTCGGCGACAGTTGCCCTTGGCGCGCACTAATGCGAGTTTGGAGCGGGACTTTGCCACCATTTAGGATATTCTAGGGGCTGAAGCTGAGCAGGGAGGGATTTTGAGGTGACTCAGTGTATGGAATCTAGCGTATATAAAAGGTTTATAAGAAGGTTTGAAAAACTGTGGGAGGGAGGGAGGACTACTGTAAGACTTGTCTTGTCTGCCCCACCTCAAATTGCCATTGAGTTTCAGAAGACCACCCAGGAAGTAAGTCCGCTCTCTCGTCCAAATACTTGCGGATTAAGCTTTCCAGGCATTTAGTATTGGTTTAACATGGTTAAAGTGTCCAGAAAATTTAAGAAATCATAGCCAAGGATTTGAATTATCAGAATATATTCATTCAATATGCTACAGTCGCCCTTTTACACAGTTGTGATTGCTAAAGAAACTAAATCTCTTACAGTCTTTCTTTAGCGTTTGCTAGCAGTTTAGATTATTACCCGTCATAATCAGTGTCTCAAAATTTTGAGACTATAGACTTCGTTCCTTTTCAGGTTAATGAAATCAATGCAGGTTTTGAGGTCTTTGGATTTGACTACGACTTTTTGCGAACATAGTCTTACCGTGTCCTTATAGATTGCAGCCAGCCAAACCTTACAACCCAGTGCGTTCATACATCTAGCTACACCGAGAAGAATTTTGTAGCTTTGAGACTGCTAAAAATCTTCTTGAGAAACTTCAAATTTGAGAAAAGAAACCATAACTAACTTTAGAAATTAGTAGATAGCACCAATTCACTGGTTGTGTAGCGAGCAGCCGCCTGCGCAGCATCTAAGTCCCAAATCCTGGAAAATTATTTACTATAAGATATTCGGATTCGAAACCAGTCGTTTTCAACTTTTCTGACACCAAGTAAAATAAGTTGTCTTTGTGGATTTTTTTTCGCCTTGAAAAAGAACAAAACAGCTTCCGGTTTTAGAACCCTAATCTCACGCGTACAAGGCGCGGGGGATTTTTTTCCAAAATCGACCAGCCCAAATACGCCAAAGAACTTCGCAACCAAAGGACCCTATGCCTTG